AAAAACTGAATAAGCTAAACACTTGCTGCGCAGGTAAGGTAGTGTGGGGAGTGGAAACTCGCTGTGATGGTTTGGCGATCCAGTGACGTGGCGTGGCTGCTGGTAGCAGCTGGGAAGGACGCTGGGCTGGGATCGGCAGCACAGGCCACCTAGGGGGACACGGGTGATCTATCGGCGCTTGGACCAATTCTAGCCGCCACAAACCCACTCGAGCCACTCTCGGTCTCCACACCGACACCTACCACCACAAGTGTGTTTGAATGCAGCGAGCGCCGACCCCGTTTTATCGATCATTTCAATCTGCCTCAGCTTGCCCTCGCACCTCCAACACAGCGCCGCCAGCATCCACACACACCCATTCGCCCGCAAAGAAATCAAGCTACGGGACTGCGAAACCACGCCCAGATTGCCTCGCACTGCAATCCCCTCCATTCGCGCCGCCGACGTCTTATTGCTGTGCGGGCCAAAGTCGAACTCGAAAATCAAGACAGCCCCTGCAGTCACCCAGTCTCCAGTCACCGCACCAGCCCCCATCACCACCGCCGCCGACCTCCACTTCACCTCCTCTGCCCGGCTCCTACTTTATCTCCTCCCAGTCTCCAGATCGCTCCCAACGTCGACTACCTATACTTTTCGTCGTTGGATGCTACGCCGAATCCTTTGGGCCCCTCCCGAGGCTGACGCTACATGACCTGATCATGGCGGGTCGATACTCGGCAGAGTTTCTGCTGCATTTACGCCAGTCTCCATTATGCGTCAAGCCACCCGCTCTGCCCCCGGCTGATGAGTGGATGGGGTATGTTGTCTTTTTTTTTCTCTTTCCCTTTTTCCCTACTGAAATCTCTCTCCTGTACCCCAACAGAAATTCTTCTAATACATGTCCTTCTTCAACAGGCCACCCCCAGAGGCATTTCGCAATCAGCCAAAACCAAGCAGCGACCGCAAGAGCGCCACCGGCGAAGGCCTACTCCTGAACCAGGAAAATCGACGCCCAGCGCTCGACCGTAATGGCTCGCGGAGTGCCGCAAGTATGCATCCCTTTCCGGACCTGGCTGCGGGGTGAGGGGACGACCGCGTGTATTTCTGTCTGTATTTTCCCATGTACTGACCGAACCAGACCCGGACGAGATAATCCTTGGCCCGCCCCGGCCGAATTTCGCATCAGCTACATCCGCTCGGACGAATAGAGTCGGCGGCGAGCCCGAGAAGGCTTTGAAGGACCCGGAACGACAGGATCGGTCCGATCGTTTCAACTTCAGGACCCGTGCAAACGACTCGGAACCCGCCACAAATGATCGCTTCCGGGAGGGCAGGGATGGCCGCAACAACACATTCCGTCGCCGCGGCGACCAAGACCAAGATAGCGAAGGCTGGAGCACCGTGAAGCCGCGGAAGAGTTTTGGCGCTGAAGGCGCCGAGCGCTTCCACGGGCGCATGGGTGCCGCCGGAGAGCGCTTTACTACTCGAGACGACCGCCGAGCGCGAGACCGCGATGACCGGGAGGTCAACGACCGTCGCGCCCGCAACCCAGCAGACCCCAATGCCAGAGATACGGAGGCCGAAGAACTGGAAGGGCCGCGCAACAGAAACAGCTTAGCACGGGCTAAGCCCGAGCCATGGTCCAGAGATAACCCGAACAACGGAGCCACCAGCGAGGCACCCGTCTCCCAACGGGAGCGCATTGACAAGGCCAAGAGCTGGCGGGATCGCGATCCGAATGCAAACGACAACAGGCATAGCGACCGCACCAATGAACGAACCAACGAGCGAACCAATGACAGAAACTACGATCGGCGCTGGGACAGAGAGCGTGACCAGCGTGTCGAGCGCGATCCCGAATGGCTTGATGAGCCCTTGGAAGAGAAGTCACACGGCCACACTGAGGAGGATTTCAAAAAGTTCATGGAATCAATGAAAGCAAAGCAAGGAGGTGCACCTAAACCCGAAGGGAAGGCACCTATGGTTCTGGACAGGCCAAATACGGAAAATTTGTTGGAGCCAGAGCAAAAGGTGGCGTCTGCGTCTGCGCCGGCGATCGAGTCGGGCCCGGACAAGTTTTTCGTTGCTTTTGGTGGTGGAAGTCTCGATGCTACCACGCCTACAGCTTCTGCCGCCGCCGCTGCTGCCGAGAACAAGGAAGCCGCGCGATCCAAAAACAAAAAGTCGTCAAGGTTCATGACCTTCCTGACTACCCAGGAAGACACCCGAGCGAGAACAGAGCCGCCGATACCTGCAGCTATAGTTCAGCATAGCGGTCCATCGAATGACCTTCCCCCCCAAGGGGAAACCGAGAAGGAAGCTTTTGCCATGCTCATCCAAAAGCTACAGAGATCGAGGATGGAACCGGGGATGCAAGGCAATGCCCCGCCGCAGCAGCTCCTTGCTAGGCTTATGGAACAATCTCCGGCTCAGGATCACCGTCCGAATAGCGCAGTTGCCTCTCCGGAGCCGCTCCAGGGGTATGGCGGCGATCATCGCGAAGACCCCCGCTTCCGTGGGCAGCACGATGACCTTCGACTCAGACAACAGCTGCCTCATACTATGGTTTCGCCTCGTCCCGTGGCGCCTCCGGTGCAGCCTCCTCCTGCGATGCGGCCCGAGCAGGTTTTGCAAGACCTGCTCGCTCAGCGCCACAGCTTTGCCAACCAGGCGAATCCGCGTGTCGTGCAGAACAACCCGCCGATTAATAGCAACACTGAATTTTTGATGAAACTGATGCAAAACCACCGCGCTGATGTGTCAGAGTCTCTGCCGAGAATGGAGCCTCTCCCCGTCAGGATGCCGCAGCCGACTAAGCAGGTATCGCTTGCGAATATCCCCGACCGCGACTTGGACTATCAGAGAGAAAGGACCATCTTACAGCGTCATCAACAAATGCGAGGACAGCAGGGTCCACCGGGTTTCCTAGAAGACCAGTTCCACCCGTCCGAGGTCGACAGCCGTCCGCAGCCGACACAGATTCTGCAGCGACCGCCGCCTCCAGGCCTCGACCACCACGGTATCCACCAGTTCCAGATGGGTGGCCCTGGTGCCGGCGGTGGTCAGCTTCCACCCCCACAGCGCCCCATGATCCCACCTCCTGGACTCGTCAATGGACCGCGTAACGTGCCTTTACCGGGTATGTATCCCAACTTCCCGCCGCCGCCGGTCTTCCCACCCGAGGGCGTTATGGGAGTGCCGCCGCCAGGCCCACCAAACCAGCAGCAACGGGGCATGCAGCCACCGCCTGGCTTTTTTGGTGGACTGCCGCCGCCGGGATTCATGCAACAGCCTCCGCCAGGGATGGGTGGAGGTTTCCAGGTGCAAGGAGGCCTGGATGGACCAGGCGGTTTCCCTGGGGCAGTGCCGCCGTATGATCGGAGGGGGATGATGCCGCCAGGGTATCGGGGGCCATGATTTTTTTGGGATCGACTTTTTTTTCTTTTTTTGAGAGAGAGAGAGAGCGAGAGAGATTTTCGTCTTTGGGGAACGAGTCACTTTATGGTTCAGAGCGTTTTGTCGCAGTGTCCCGTGGCATAACGTGTGAGCCTTGAGACTACGCGTGGCTGTGTGGAAATATATGTCAAGGTCAAGGGGGGACAAGGGGGTAAAGATAAATCGATGGGACATAAAAAAATGGGATGGCGGGGATAGGTCATGGGTAAGAGAGTGACTGCGTTTGGGGGATAAAGTGCAAAGGTCTTGACAATCACTACTATCAAACTACTTTTGCTGCTAGTACGACTACCACCTATACTACCTTACCTTCTATCACCTTACCACCTCATTTTTGCTTGTCAGAACGTAATTGACCCGGGGCACTCTTATTTATGGCCTTTGTGAGGGTGTCTGCTTTGGTGTATGCCTTGGTGTATGCCTTGATTGTGAAGTTTGTAAAAGGAGTGAAGTCAAGTTGAGATATTTACTTGGGTGGTATTCTCTTCTCGGGTGATGTATGTAAAAACTATGCAGCAGCTGTGTAACAACTGTGTCACCAATTTTTTTTTTTTTTGAAACGCCATACCCGGCGCGTTTTTAAAGGATTGTTTACTTTATTCCTTTCGGGATTTGCCTCTGGGAAAAGAATGCTCAAAACACTATTCTTTGCTTCGTGCCCGTGGTCCGCCAGCACTCGGCTTTCGCAAACTTTGATGCGCTAAGGTTCGTTGAGTACTTCTCAGGTGATATGAGATAAGATTATCAGCTCAACCTGACAGACTTTGAGAGACGATCTGCAAGGACCTGCCAGGGATGCCCCGGTCCACAACAAATTCGAGGGTGCTTTTTTGAGGTAACATCGGCTGGAGTGCTTGACTATGGCACCTTTTATAATTTAATTTAGTTGGCCGTCACATAATAATGATGATATATGTGGGAGAAATTTGACTGCCCGGTCCCGGATAGTTCGGGCAAGGTACCCGGGGGGCCCATGCCCATGTCGGTTCACCAACAAATGATAATGGTACCAAACTGGCTGTCCGGAGAATGAGCTAAAACACATGAGAACCCAGGGACGAAGTACTGTTCTGGCCCGTGGTGTTATCCCAAGTTCACAAGCAACGAAAATGACAAAAAGAAAGGAAGTGTCTGGATATTTCTCCCCTAACCCACACCCCTGAGCCAGACTCAGGGGAGCGTCTGTCGATCCACCCAGGTCTCGAACCTGGAACCTCCTGATTCATAGTCAGACGTTCTATCATTGAGTCAGCAGACCTCGAAATTGTTGAGGAGTCTGCGTTTTTTGGTGGATTTTGTCTGCGTTGCTTTGCATGCTCAGGTGTGGTCTTCTATCCACAGGGTCCACCTCGTCAAATCGAGAAGCAAACTTGTTCTCTTGCCTTTTTCCTTGATTCATCAAGTAAGGACCTTATATATCTATACTTCGTGGGTACATTCCAGTAGCTTGCATTCAACCTCTGTGGCCCAGCTATGTTTTCTCTCGGACTGAGCCATATTGAGAGAAAAAGAAAACCGCTCTCCTCCTTGAAAGGAGGTGGAGAATGCAGCCAAAAACAAACAAATGCCCACACCAGGGATCGAACCTGGGACCTGTCGCGTTCCAAACCCGCAGGTATGTGAGGCGAACGTCATACCACTAGACCATACGGGCTTATTCTCCATTCGAACTTTTGATGCAAGAACGCACAGCTATTTCCTCCTAGGTTGGGGTGTCGGGTTGGTGTGGCGGGTTGGATAACGGATAGGGGCTGGCACTTGACCACCAATTGCCTCAAGTAATGGTAAACAGGCTGCTCTTTCTGGGGCCTGGGGGCGAAATAAGGTATAATTAGTATGGCTGCCAAAAAAAATAAAATAAACATGGACACCAGGTTTGTAAAGCCACTGCCTGCTAGCAAATACCTTGCCAGACTAGCATCGCTCAAATACTCTGTATAACCCCTTTAGATTCGCCACCTCCAAAACACCCGCCTGCATTAACGACTTAGTTGCCACCAACCTCGCCTTGAACGCCGGAAAGAAGACATGCTCAACCGCCCATCGGACATGATCCCGCCGGGCTTTTAGCTCATCGTTAATAGCTGATCCCTCATCTTCCTCCTGCTGGTCACCCTCGCCTGTGCTTGTGGGGCCTGGGGTTGCTGGCAACCGCTCTGGCACATAAAAGGTGGCCAGCGCTTTGAGAAAGGTCTCAAAACAGCCGCGCTCATCGGACCAATTGATATGCGGCCCCAGCTTAAGAAGGAATTGCGGGAGTTTGACCATGGCGGGCGTGTACCCTTTAACAAGAAGTGGAATGCTCAGCAACTCGCCGGTGGGTGATATCTCAAAGGAGAAGTATTCAAGCAGCATCTCACGCCGCTCAATGAGCTGGTCGGCAACGAGCTCAACGACTTCTTCTACATCGAAATTATCTCCAACTCCGCCTTGGGATGAGGCGGCCTTTTTCTCCTGCTCAGCCGCAACTTGGAGTAGCTCCTTCAGGCCCAGCGGCGGGCTAAATCGGATGACGCCAAAGTTGCCAAAGTCGGTCAATCCGACCTGGTAGAAGTACTCGAAGCAAACTCGCCCATAGTCAACCAGGAACAGCCGGACACCCCCTTGGATTGCAGCAAGGCGGCGACGCTCGTCGACGATGCCAACGAATGTGTGCGTCGCAAAGACCTCGGTGAGCTCGTGGTGCATCTCGTCACGCACCAGGGCGCGCAGCTCGCGCACGCTGACTAGACGGTAAGCTGTCATGTCACGATCTAGCGTGCCATATTCGATTGCCTGAGCCTGTGAGTCTGAGCTGGCGTTCTTGGCCCCGGGTGGGGCGGCCCGGGAGCCTGATCCTTGGGTGGTCGCTGAACCGGCCGCAGGCGGGAGCATACTTGTGATTTTGCGAAGGTTGGTGTCTGTCCGCACGAGACTGGTCTCGTTGCGGGCAGCAGGGGTCCTGCGGCTACCGCCACCAACACTGGTCCCCTTGGAGGGGGTGGCTGTGGTTGCCGGTTGGGTGTCATGGGTTGACGACCAGACGCCACCGGGCAAAAGGGTCTGGGTCAAAAAGGTCCGACTGGTATCTACGGCGGCTAGCTTTGACCGAATATGTTCGCAGATGGCCTGAATGATTTCGTCTTCGTTGAGAAAGTTGACTTCACGCTTTGTGGGATGCACGTTGACGTCGACCCTCTGCGGGTCAATCTCGAGGTTGAGGTAAACAAAGGGGTGGCCATTCTTGGGGAGAAAGGCAGCGTACGTCTGCTCGACAGCTTTCCGGATGTTCGATGACTCGACACACCGATGATTGATGAACAGCAGCAGTGTTGTCTTCTTGATGCTGTAGTTTGCGTTGGTGGCTAGGCCTTTAGCCTCGAAGCCCCATCTATTATCGGAGGCGGAAAACTCGATGAGCTCGTTGGCAACACTGCCCCCATAAATTTGGCGGATTCTGTCCACGACAGATGCATTGGTTTGGATGGCCACACTGGTCGATGACTCACCGTGCTTCTTGCAAGAGAAAGCAACGTGGGAACAGTGGATAGCGTAGCGGCCAACCATGTCAATAATCTTGTTATACTCGTCAGAGGCCGAGCGGAAGGCACGGCGGCGATTCGGGACATTGTAGAAAAGGTCCTCTACTGTAATCTGCGTGCCTGGCCGGCCTGCCACCGGCCTTGGGTCAGGCGACTGGCCGGGCTTTGCCGGGGCCAACCTGCCACTGTCGTAGTGGGCACGCCATGCACAGTTGGAGTCCTGTGTCTTGGTGGTCACGGTCAGGTGGGCTATGTGGCTGATGCTGGCCAGAGCCTCGCCCCGGAATCCGTACGTGGCGATAGACTGCAAGTCCTCGAACGTTTGCAGCTTGGACGTGGTGAAGCGCTCGCACAGTATGGGCAGGTCCTCTTTCTATTTCTCGGTGAGCAAAGCGAGCATTGACAAGTGAAGTGTGCAAGGCAGGGGAACGGCGCACGTTTATGCCACTGCCGTTATCGGTGATCTGCAGCAGCTTGAGGCCGCCCTCTTTTACAAGGACCTCGAGGGAGGTGGAGCCTGCATCGACGGCATTCTCGATGAGCTCCTTCAAGGCGTGAACGGGAGCTACTATTATCTCGCCAGCAGCAATCTTGTTGACGACATCGGGATCGAGTGCCTGGTTTTCAGCTTAGCGGAAGGAATTGGGGACCGTAGCATGCAGCTCAAGCATGCAGACATACCCTGATCCGACGGGGAGCGTTGGTGTCGTCAAATTCAAGTTCGCTGGCTTTTCTCTTGGCGCCTCGGGGCTCGTCGAGATCCATGGCCTCAGCCATCCTGGCGCTCTGGAGGTGGGAGACAGTAAACGACAGGGAAGGTAGATAGGAAAAAACCTGAGATTATCTCATAGCCGCTGCCTGCTCTGGCAGGCAACAAAATAAAACAGAAATTGGCAGAGCGGCAAGTCGTTTACCTCGGTGTGTTAGTTAGTCTTGGGTGGCGACTTCCTTGAGAGATGAGCCTCTTCAGCCTTAGGAACATGTCCGTGCGCACCCAGTTAGATGTGACGTCGGCCAGTCCGTGAGCCGTGCGTTTTCCCTAGCCTGGAAATCAAGCCTGAGGCAGCCGATCCCGTAGCAACCGATCCCGTAGCAACCGAAACCCCACGCCGTCGACACCCCACGGCTCCCGTCCCCATCCCCCATCAACCACCCCCAACGACTAAAGTGTGCTGTGGAGTCCATAGGTTGCGGAGTGGTGGATGCCCGGGTGGTGCAAGGCACTCTGCAGCCGTTCCGCGCTGCACTGCAACACAACTGCACAGGGCCTGCTGCAATCGTACCGACTTTCAGTTGTCCTCAGATTTTGAACCGCCACAGTCCCTTTCTGCTCGTCGAAATGCTCGCTATCCTCTCACACGGAACACGTGAGACTGCACGAGGTTTTCGTTCGAGCTTGGGTCCTTGGGTCGCGGGTAATGCTTCCGGGGCTGGCCTCAGCTGCGACTGTGCCACCCTCGACACGTACTCACCTTTTGCTAGGCTGCTGTATTTTTCTCACCGTCCCAATCTTCCCCCAAAACCACTTTTACCGGCGAGTGAGAGAAGGAGACCTCCCAGCCCCAGGCACCATTGTTTTCCGTCTTCTTCCCTCGTCTCGAACCCCCTCTCGACGCCATATCGCAGCCCCCAAACATCCCAAAGAGAGAGTTTCGGTGTGCTATTGCCATGTGGCCCATGTGGCCTGGCCTCTGCCAGCGCGACCCTGCCTACCTGCCTCAGCTGAAGGGCCAAGAGGGCGTCTGCGAGTGCAGCCAACATGTTTTTGATTCCTCCCTTGTCCGCTAACTGCAAGGACTGGCGATCGGGCTCGATTGACGATGCGGTTGAGGCTTGTCCATCAGCCTTGAGACCCCCCGGTGCAGGGTGATGACTCGAACGTGATAGGGCTAAGACTTGCAGCCGATTCAAACGGGCGGGCGCCTCTCCCGCTCCTACACCCGACCCCTACCCGCCATTGCTACCCACTGGCTTGCCCGGGGTCAAACCACCACAGCCCGGCCACTGTGCACTATGCCGCTGCTCACCTGGACTGTCCTGGACTGCTGCGTTCCTCGAGGCTTTCTGGAGGGCGCCCAGAGGCTCCCAACCCGTAGATTACCCTCTTCTCTTTTCGGGCGTGCATACCATACCCACTGGCTTCACTTATAAGATTTGCTGCACTTGATTGTACTAAAATGACGGACCTGCCTGCTTGGTCATTGTGTTTCCTGAGTACTGCATTTCCAAGTCATCTTTTCGGCCATGAACACCAGAAACATTCGATCCAACACGGAGCCGAGGTCATCCTCACGTGAGCCGAACATGTCGGGCGACCCCCCACACCTCGCTCGTCTCTCCAGTCCGGACGCCGCACAAAGCGAAGCAAATTCCTCTGTGCAAGTTCACCTGGATGCCGAGGGTAACAGGTATGTAAGGTAACCCCCTTCCAAACCCACAACTCGCTAATGCCAAAGCAGGGCGGGGGGACCACCCGCTTCACGATCGGCATCCCGACGCCGCTCGCCTCCCGGGCACTCTCAGTCGTCTACAGCCTCATCTCAGCAAGAACGCCCGTCTGCAGAGGACATGCTCCGGGATCTCATTGTCACCACCGACTCGAGCAATAACGCCATCGGCGACGCCCTGCTGCAGAGCCTGAAACGGACACACGATGGTGACTCGCCCGACGAGCCTCGCCCCAAGCGCGACAAGCTCGAAGAGGAGCTAGACCGCCTGTCGGCGATTCTGGGCGGCGAGGGCTCGGCTTCAGGGGCCGGGGCCGCGCCGCAACCCGAAGACGGACATGGCTCTGCGGCTCCCGATGTCGGCAGTCAGACACCCTCCAATGGCGACACGAGACTGACTCTTTCGATACGGAGGCGGTCACACCGCCAGGACAAGGACGCTGCGGCAAGTGCGGCAAGTGCGGCAACGACGCCAGCAGCGGCAGCGGCAGCGGCGGCATCGGCGGATGAAATGGACCAGCACTCGTCCTCTGAAGTGTCGGGGTCCAGAACACCCGGCAACCGTGGTGCCGGGTAACTCAACTAGCCCCAGACTGGCGGTGGGCTTGGGCACCCAGGGGGGGAATTGAAAAAAGACAATGCCCCCCCCCCGAGACTTACACACGGTAGGTGGTTATTGGGCGGTT